ATAACAAGTCAAGTTTAACCTCAATACAGTAGGTAAACAGTATACAGACACCAATACAATATAGATAACAAGTCAAGTTTAACCTCAATACAGTAGGTAAACAGTATACAGACACCAATACAATATAGATAACAAGTCAAGTTTAACCTCAATACAGTAGGTAAACAGTATACAGACACCAATACAATATAGATAACAAGTCAAGTTTAACCTCAATACAGTACGTAAACAGTATACAGACACCAATACAATATAGATAACAAGTCAAGTTTAACCTCAATACAGTACGTAAACAGTATACAGACACCAATACAATATAGATAACAAGTCAAGTTTAACCTCAATACAGTAGGTAAACAGTATACAGACACCAATACAATATAGATAACAAGTCAAGTTTAACCTCAATACAGTAGGTAAACAGTATACAGACACCAATACAATATAGATAACAAGTCAAGTTTAACCTCAATACAGTACGTAAACAGTATACAGACACCAATACAATATAGATAACAAGTCAAGTTTAACCTCAATACAGTACGTAAACAGTATACAGACACCAATACAATATAGATAACAAGTCAAGTTTAACCTCAATACAGTACGTAAACAGTATACAGACACCAATACAATATAGATAACAAGTCAAGTTTAACCTCAATACAGTACGTAAACAGTATACAGACACCAATACAATATAGATAACAAGTCAAGTTTAACCTCAATACAGTACGTAAACAGTATACAGACACCAATACAATATAGATAACAAGTCAAGTTTAACCTCAATACAGTACGTAAACAGTATACAGACACCAATACAATATAGATAACAAGTCAAGTTTAACCTCAATACAGTACGTAAACAGTATACAGACACCAATACAATATAGATAACAAGTCAAGTTTAACCTCAATACAGTACGTAAACAGTATACAGACACCAATACAATATAGATAACAAGTCAAGTTTAACCTCAATACAGTACGTAAACAGTATACAGACACCAATACAATATAGATAACAAGTCAAGTTTAACCTCAATACAGTACGTAAACAGTATACAGACACCAATACAATATAGATAACAAGTCAAGTTTAACCTCAATACAGTACGTAAACAGTATACAGACACCAATACAATATAGATAACAAGTCAAGTTTAACCTCAATACAGTACGTAAACAGTATACAGACACCAATACAATATAGATAACAAGTCAAGTTTAACCTCAATACAGTACGTAAACAGTATACAGACACCAATACAATATAGATAACAAGTCAAGTTTAACCTCAATACAGTACGTAAACAGTATACAGACACCAATACAATATAGATAACAAGTCAAGTTTAACCTCAATACAGTACGTAAACAGTATACAGACACCAATACAATATAGATAACAAGTCAAGTTTAACCTCAATACAGTACGTAAACAGTATACAGACACCAATACAATATAGATAACAAGTCAAGTTTAACCTCAATACAGTACGTAAACAGTATACAGACACCAATACAATATAGATAACAAGTCAAGTTTAACCTCAATACAGTACGTAAACAGTATACAGACACCAATACAATATAGATAACAAGTCAAGTTTAACCTCAATACAGTACGTAAACAGTATACAGACACCAATACAATATAGATAACAAGTCAAGTTTAACCTCAATACAGTACGTAAACAGTATACAGACACCAATACAATATAGATAACAAGTCAAGTTTAACCTCAATACAGTACGTAAACAGTATACAGACACCAATACAATATAGATAACAAGTCAAGTTTAACCTCAATACAGTACGTAAACAGTATACAGACACCAATACAATATAGATAACAAGTCAAGTTTAACCTCAATACAGTACGTAAACAGTATACAGACACCAATACAATATAGATAACAAGTCAAGTTTAACCTCAATACAGTACGTAAACAGTATACAGACACCAATACAATATAGATAACAAGTCAAGTTTAACCTCAATACAGTACGTAAACAGTATACAGACACCAATACAATATAGATAACAAGTCAAGTTTAACCTCAATACAGTACGTAAACAGTATACAGACACCAATACAATATAGATAACAAGTCAAGTTTAACCTCAATACAGTACGTAAACAGTATACAAACACAAAATACAATATAGATAACAAGTCAAGTTTAACCTCATTACAGTAGGTAAACAGTATACAGACACCAATACAATAAAGATAACAAGTCAAGTTTAACCTCAATACAGTAGGTAAACAGTATACAGACACCACTACAATAAAGATAACAAGTCAAGTTTAACCTCATTACAGTAGGTAAACAGAATAGAGACACCAATACAATATAGATGGCAAGTCAAGTTTAACCTCAATACAGTACGTAAACAGTATACAAACACAAAATACAATATAGATAAAGTAGGTAAACAGTATAGAGACACCAATACAATAGAGATGACAAGTCAAGTTTAACCTCATTACAGTAGGTAAACAGTATAGAGACACCAATACAATAAAGTTAACAAGTCAAGTTTAACCTCAATACAGTACGTAAACAGTATACAGATACCAATACAATATAGATAACAAGTCAAGTTTAGACTCAATACAGTAGGTAAACAGTATAGAGCCACCAATACAATATAGATGACAAGTCAAGTTTTACCTCAATACATTAGGTAAACAGTATAGAAACACCAATACAATATAGATGACAAGTCAAGTTTTACCTCAATACAGTAGGTAAACAGTATACAGACACCAATACAATATAGATATCAAGTCAAGTCTAACCTCAATACAGTAGGTAAACAGTATAGAGACACCAATACAGTATAGATGACAAGTCAAGTTTTACCTCAATAAAGTAGGTAAACAGTATAGAGACACCAATACAATATCGATGACAAGTCAAGTTTAACCTCAATACAATACGTAAAGAGTATAGAGACACCAATACAATATAGATGACGAGTCAAGTTTAACCTCAATACAGTAGGTAAACAGTATACAGACACCAATCGATATAGATGACAAGTCAAGTTTAACCTCAATACAGTACGTAAACAGTATACAGACACCAATACAATATAGATGACAAGTCAAGTCGGATATGAACAACCGTCTACGCACAATTACTATCGCCACATTAAAATTTTCCGGAATCCGCCACCCGACATACCGTTTTTTGCTTATCTAGCCCGAGTGTCAATAGTCATTGGGATCTGTGGTTATTAACTTCGTTCGATATCAGCATGCCTCGGGGAAAATGAATGTCGCGTATAGAGGCGCCGACTGTAATAATTTAGCGGTTTTCATTTCTGTATTGAAAGTAGTATTGTTAACAGCAAAGAATAATCAATACAGTATGTTATTTACAAACATAATTAGAATATTATACATCATCACAAGCTACTAGCTAGCTTACAACAATATCATCTGAGCGAAACTGAGCGAAATGTTATTTACAACCATAATTAGGTGTACTTACTGTCTCCCTTTGACTCGATTTATTTTGTTGTGTATGTACCAAGCCGAATGCCATGATGTCAGTACATGTCACGGTCTAACTGTGTCTGATCATTGAAATCATTCATGATAGTAATAATTTTAAAACAGTTACACGCTCTTGTTTGTTTTATAAAAGATTGGAGCTTTCTACCGCTAGTAGTTATCGGGAAATATTGTCCATACAAGCCTACAAGCAACTGTCGCATTTTATTATTATTTTATTTATTTTATTATGTATTTCCATCTTCTCTTTAAATCTACTCTTTGCCTTAGACTGATCATGTATTGGGTGTCAGAAGGTATGATAAGTCTAGTTTTTTAATTAATTAGTTGGATTTCTCACATAAAATATCATGTATAATGCAAGGCTACGAGAGCTTTAATATAAGACAAATCTAAGATATGATTGACTATAAGGCTTAAAACTAATAAAGAAATAAAACTTGCATCATCTAATAAACGATTATGGTAAAAAAAAAAACTCCGGTTTAGTGCTTAATAAAATGAATTTGAAATTGATGACATCACAATAGAAACTGATGATGTTACAACATAGATTGATTGTGTGCTCAGCACTAGTAAAGCTAGGGCCTGAATTAATAAAGGATGTCCGAGATGAAATAGATGAAATAGATGACAGTGTTGATGAGTAACATTTGAAATAAAGTTTAAGGTTAACTCCTTGAATCTGTTCTGTCTGTTGAGATATAAACACAAAAATATCCAGCTTTACGAGCTTGTAGGTTTTCAATAGTTAAATTATATTACAAAATGTTTGAAATACAAGTTTAAACTTAAAGAGATTTTAAGAACAGATTTTAACTTAACAGAAGTTTGTAACTCAACAGAATGTACTACAGAATTGCTATTGATGAAAAAAAAGTCCTGAAGTGCTCAATCAAAACGTGAATCTTACAACCCTAGGGCCATCCATTCCTCCCTGGGGAGGAGTAAAATTGACTATATTATTTCATTTCTTTTTTGACAATTATCAATATCACAACAATGAACAACAATTGTATTACAACTCATGCATGTGACCTTTAAGGGCCATGGGCCTCTATAAATTTGTACACCCCTTTTGTAAAGTTAATGCAGTTCCTACCCATTTGGTGGGCAGATACTTTTTGTGTTTTAGAAATTACAGAGGTTACAATGTAATTATTGTGGCTTTAAATATCTTTATGTTAATGTCAGTCAATAATTGCTTTCTGCCAGATATTTGATTGGCTATTCTCACAAATGAACATGAGACTGTACTAGAATTTTAAAAAAAACTTTTACAAGTTTATTTACTTGTAACAGTAACACTCTTGTTATGGTGAATACATGAAATTTTTCAGATTTCAACAAAAATTGAACAACAAGTACATGTAAATATGCAATAAAGATATTTTATTTTCTGACTCATTTGTTATCAGTTCTTACTGTATTTAGCAGTTAACAGAAACCTAGCAGATTCAAAATCATCAACAATTCTTGGCAGAAATTTCTGGAATTTCCATTATCTTGGGATTTCCTTTCTACAGTACAGAAGTCCACATCATAACTAATCTCAATCTCCTGATATTTCCTGAGGAAGTAGTTTCCTAGTTCCTAGTTGCCCTGACATGACAACACGTTTTGCTTTTACCAGCAACACACGTACACTCCCGTTTGTATCCTTCCGTTATGGTTACACAACACCCAAGGTAAATGATAATCTTGGTTTGCCTACAGATCCACTCTGAAAATTGTTGAAATTGTCCAAAGATTTAAAGTTTTCCATATCATCGCCATCTAGCGCCCGACTGTGTACCAAGTAATCGTAAATGTTACCGTAAAAAAACAGTCGTCCATGCTCGCATATCAACCTTCCATTCAGCCGGTTCGATAGAATCAGGTCGAATGTCAACAGATTACCAATGTTTAGAATGAGACATTGTAGTTCCTACGGTGTTGTTATGCCGAATTCGTTAATAGTTCCATATAATTTAACTTACATATTCGCTGCAGTCTTTTGCGCCTCCAATTTGGTTATTGTTGTCAATCACGGTCGTAATGGTGGCCGATTTTAACGCCCCCTGTATCAAAATATGAGAACTAACGAGGAGATAACTGAAAAAAAGGTGTGTATATACCCTCCTGAGCTTAAAATGGATTAACCTTCTCCATCAGCTTTATTCCTCGGACTTTACTTGTAACATGACCAACAGAGATGACTTACTACGAAGCTGTATGATAAATGGTACGATTTCGACTTTCGATCGTGAACTTTCCGTTTCTTGATATTTACACCACCTTACTTGGGATAAATTATCGCAGTTGATTCCGTATTCAAGAGCCTCCTCCGAATATTATTAGGTCCAAAATAGATGTGGACTGCAGACGGACAAACTTGCAACACGAGTTTTCCAAAGCTAAGGGTTGATGGAGGCTGTAAATAAGTGTCATGGTCGCCATCGTGACCTCATAGGGAAATGGAGTGATATGAAGGTCGATTTTTCCTCATTATGCTCATATCTGAGCTTTGAGGTTTTATTGTCACGTCCCAATTTCTCAATGTGATGACGTACGTGTAACGATTCTCGGATTTGACCAAGAATTACACAGCGTGTCGTCACCATTCCGTACCACTTTGTCAACTACATTTTCTCCGTGTAAATGTTTTCTTTATTCACATTTTGCCCTAGTTTTATCGATGTTGAGTTCCAATTATGTTTTTTATTGACAATTAGGTATTCTCTTTTTTGTTAAACTGTCCTGATAAAGCTTTCCTTATGTGTTTGCAGTTTTAGATAGACCCGATTAGTTCAAAATATGTTAGCTATAGCAAATCGCTGACACTGTTACGTCCATTTGATTGATTTTATAAAAACCCGAACGTACATTGTCGTAATACAGAGGCACAAATCAGCTACACATGTACATTTACACAAAACACAATGATATAAGGTATCATAAATTAGAATATTTAAAGAGGAAGTGTCCTTTACATAAAAATATGTATATATCGTGTACAATTGAACGATTATAAACTTGTATATCATATTTCAATTGTAATATTTTGATTCCCAACCTGTTAATAAGTCTAGACCCAGAGATGGTTATCCTACATACTGTTAGATGTCTTTGATGTAATATCAAAGTTTTACTTTATGCACAAACAGTATACGTATTAAATTTGTCGCAACGTTCAAAGACCAACTGGTCCCTTTGTTAAGCTATGACTGAGTGCGCGATTTGTATTTGATACAGGATGTACACGATCTATCGAAATATACAGTGTCGAGTGGCATATAGAATACAGTTTCGTCACATCGTTGAATAGGTTAAGAATAAATCGCTCACTAAGATTTATACTGTGATATATGAACAAGCCACAACATAACTCATATTATATACAAAAGTACATGAAGAATATATTACGAAATAAAGAACAACTTGGGTGGTTTAATAATTTGCAACCGTACACAAATATGAACTGTCCACAAACCAACTAAATATAACTAGCGATGTAACTATCTACAGTAATACCATGTATGTGGGTTTGTAGCTATCACAATGAGATGTGTAGCTATAACAAAGGCTCATATGATCAGCAAAGGAGATCGTTTGTCATCGCCTGAACGCAGAGAACTTTGATAAACCATTTTTTTATCATCTCAATGCATCACTTTTGTTGCTTAAATTCAGTTCAATATTAAGATAGCATTTGAATTTCAGAACTATCTGTAACACATGTAAATAGTTCAATTAATTACAGAACGAAAAATACCATTTATCCTTAAAGTAGCGTAACGTAGCAGCGCAATGGCCGTCATATTTTGGACAAAAACAAAAAACATTAAAATGCCGTATTCAAGTTTAATGATGCGTGTCAAGAAAAGCAAACACTAAAAGTTGCTACGAGTAGAAGAAAAATGTGTCGTTTTAATAAAATTACCTAATACGTTTTTGCGACATTACAAGGATATAAAATTAAGTGGTTAAAACAGACTATGCGTGAAAAAGTGTCCTTTGTGTCATATTTCACAAATCGAGAACAGTTGTGGTGTACAAGAGGTTCGTCGAACGTTTTTGTTATTGTAGACAAGACAGCTTCCATGTCCAAATTCCACCGCTGTGTCCCACTTCATGAGTTTGTCGCTGAGAGGCTGGGGTGGGTCTTCCCCGTCCCACCATTTAGTCACCCCGTCCACCTCATACCATCCTCCACTCAACCTCAAGGTTCAGTCGTGCCTGAAGGATTGTTGTCCCACTGCAGGCGAATCAATAGAGAATTCCGCAGTAGATTTAATGCAGGCAGTGACCTCCCCTTATGATCATTTTGGAAATAACTGTAGTGCGACTGGGCCAGGATACTATCGTTGGTCAGGCAGCCCAGCTGGTTGGAGTGACAGTACCTTTTATAAGAACATGAAGTCCAGGGTCTCTAATCCCAGTCTGGCTCCGTTATATTTCTAAACTCAGAATATTGTCTTTGACATTGTGTAACCTCAACAATTTTTACTAAAGCAGCTATAATGATATGTTATCAATAATAATATTTTTTTATCAAATGTACTAAAGTCAATATTTCTCTATGTTACTTAACACTTCATTGGCGCCAGTTAATGGATATTGTTATCAAGAGCTGAGCGGAGACAATCAATATATACAAATTACCATCAAAGGTCAGACAAAACAAGTGCCTACCAGCACACAGTGGTTCGTATACTGAACATCGCTCTGGACCTCCCAGGCTACCCTTACATTTCTTGGCATTGAATGTTAAACTAAGATTTAATTAGACCAGTTTTCATCAACAAAAGTTGTGAGCACACGAATCTTACTTACCGAGAATAAGACTTGACAACTTTACCCGATCTAAGCGGTTGAGTTTGTCCACAGAGTTGACCACTAGGAGTCTCATCTCGAGACCAGCACAAGCTGTCATGGCGTCCTCCTTGTTGTACTTCCGTGTGATGACCTTGTACATCAGTCCGGTTGTCGAGTCAGTTGTCATGTATAGATCTACGTTAGCTGGAAAATCAGGGACATTTTTCTTTCATGTATCTCACTTTTTATTTTTGAACAGCCAGTCTTCCAGATGATAAAACATTCAAGAAATAAGTCTTCACATCTCCAGCCTCAGACTATCTGAATACAAACTACATGCAAGTCCGCTTGGATATATCTGTGACTTAACAGATAAGGACATAATTTTATGCATGATATTATTTTATAATACATTTGTATGTGTCAAATTGTTATTTATATACTGTACATGTTATAATTTCAAATCAATTTTCGGAAACACACATCTTGAATTACTATGGCTGACCAACTGCTTCGTGGAAAATTATTGCAGAATGTTAAATCGCAACGAAAATATAAAAATTGGTTTTTGTTTTAATTAACCGTTTTGATAAGTTTCATGACAGACAATACATTATACTTTGTGATGAGCGTGTGAAAAATATGAATTCCATAGTAGCTTTCACCAATTTGTGATATATCACCGTATAATATTTCAGCAATATTGTAATTTTGATTGTTATTTTCAGATTGTTTCTAATAAAACATTTTTCTATAAAGTGTCTTGATGGATGTTATCTTTATTCTGGAACTTACAACCGTAAAACGTCAGAATACACTCACTCATGTCAAAGTAGTAGAGATACTGTTTCTCCGAAATCGACTGCTCGCCTGCTCTTGCACTCAGCTGGCTGTACTTGTTGACACTGTATGCTTTACAATCTTTGTAAGCGTTGCTGTAGGAGAATGAGCGACACGTGACGTCACGGTGACACCGCAGGCTGCACTCTCCAAGGTCTTTGGTATGTCCTTGCATTATCACTTCATAATCACTGATGGATCCAGCTGGCAAGGGGAGGTAAGCAAACCGGCGCCTCCTGGCAACTTGAACAGAAGTTCCAACACCTGCGGTGCAAAAACATATGCATGCATACGATAACATATAGTGAATATATAATTACAAAAATGAAAGCACAACCCTGAACAACACTTAGGTGTAGTGTATACTTGAAACAAACCAGGAATATAACCAAATATGGTAACAATATGTGCAAGAATTTCAACATTTAAATTGACTAACTCCCTCTGGTATGTCCCGCTCCTCTTATCCAAAGAAGATTATTTGTAAAGATGACAATAGGCAATCTCCTCCTATTTGGTACAATTTGGTTGGCCCTAAGGAGGATCAAACCCTTCCAAAAACGTGTACCGTTTTAACGTTTTGTTTAAAGTCTCGAAAAGCAAAAATCTATATAATGCTTCCGCCATTTGAAGGCAGATAATCATTGAAAGCAATCTATATAGGAGGAAATGGTGTAGCTCGTGACATAATGCGATGGTATGACACTGTTCAAGGACAGCAATGTTCCTACATAAAACCGGATTAATAGCCAATGTGAAGTACCTCGTATTAATTGCCCGAATATGTATTCATTTGTATTGATATTTTCCGTAATTCTGTAGAGCAAATACTAATATCTAGGTAATAAACGTCTATCACGAAATGCTAAACTTTCAGGATGAGGAAGGCGACCATTTTTTGTCCATGGAAAAAATCCAAGTTCTAGTTTTTTGCTACATATAATGTTTTGTTAAGCAATTCAAAAACAATTTACTATTCTGTCTGCAGTGTATCAGTCAAATGACACAAGGGATATCCCAACTTTGTGGAGGAAATCTCATTACGTGTTTGAATGGCACTGCTTACCTTTCCAGAATAATAAATTAAAACAGTAGAAAAGCTTATAACCTTGAACTACAGTATATAGTGAAAATAAGCAAGACCCAGACTGTATTGGTATAAAGTGTCAGGCCATGGATAAAGTAGATTTTGCAAGCTCTTGATGTATTCCAAAGTACAAATGTGCACAACTTCAATTGTCCCCCTAGATATAATGTATTGTTAAGCAATTCAAAAAGTTGAAGTCGAACAATTAATAAAAATAGTTTTATACCGAACAAAACCAAAGCAAACAACACCTAAGAGACAACCAAATTCAAACATTCCTTGTGACATAGGGACGGTTATTCTTACTAAACATCTGTCTTACTATCTGAACGACCCTTATGACTATAGCCTACCGTGGGTACATCCGATCACGTCAAATCTGAGACATGGTACTCCAGTTGGTGTGTCTACCCAAGTCAGTGGGCGAATACGGACGTACCGAGCCACAACAGGTGGACTTATGTTACTCTGTCGCTCTGTGTTCTCCTCCGCGGAATCTGCTGGAACGTAGAAAGTCTGAAACAAGAGATATCATCGTGACAAATCGTCTTGCCCCGGTACACATACACAGAGTGTGTCCGTTGGTTGAAGTTTTATTTTGGTAAGGTGCAAAAACATCAAATCTTGTATGTTTTCTTTTTTTCGTTTTGGTTCTCCTATATTCACCAGTAGCGAAACGTTTGCCGGTCAATACCGATCGTTATCAATAACGTCATTAAATATCTCTATTACAATACAAAATATGCTATCCCTCTTGAAATATGATCAATAGAAGCAATACGTTGTTTAAAATGTGATGTCAGATTAACACAAATGTCTGGTATTGCCTATTTACTTTCTGTATGATACGATAAAAGATTACCTGTATGATATGGTATTTTTTCGCACCTCGGACAAAAATGTCCAAAAACCATTGGTTTAGAGCTGTCACGTGGTGACACTCTATTTTTCTATAGAGGGTCAGTAGGATACCATTGTAGGGCAATATGGCCGCCCATTGCTCACCGCTTCAAAACTAAAACAACAGATACGGGTACCTGAATATTCTAAAAATGATACAATGGTCACCGTAATTCCTATTCGCTAAGATGATAGGAGTTGCCTCCCCTACGCCAAGCAAAAATAGTAAGACGTTGTCGCCAGCGACCGTCTTTTGTTTTAGCGGGGGTGCCGTCCCCTTATCTAAGCGTTTCGGCGACATTGACAGACAACAACATTACTGAGGGTCCTCGATGCGATAGTCAGTTACTGACCCTCTACAGAACCATAGAAGGTCAGTAAGATGTATAGGAGGCGAGGGCGGAGCCCGAGCCTCCTATAAATCTTACTTACCCTCTATGGTTCTGTAGAGGGTCAGTAACTGACTATATAACTAATAATATGACCTGGTTGTCGGCCTCTGATTTCAGGTATTCCCAGTCCTCTCCGTTCACACTGTACGAAACTTGATATGTAATGATGTCATTATTCGTCCTAAATTGTTGGCGTTGTTGCATAACGACGCCAACAATGTTCTTGAGATCAGAAAAGTCCACCTACAAAAACCAAAGGTGGTTCGAAGACCCAGATGTTGAATGATGAATAACGTACACGTATATGGGTTGATACCAAAAAAAGTCGATGCATTTCTATTGATTGAAGCGTACTTTTACTGCCAACATTTGCGTAAAACTTTCCAAAGAAAAACAGTATAAAGGAGTATTTTCAACACAAATCCATCCTTGCAGAAATAGTGTGATGCATGGCCATGTCTACGATTCTGTTACCTGGCAACTAAATTCGGTCAAAATTCAAATTGTTAAAAAGTATGGGATATGATTCGGTAAATAATTGAAAAAACATGCTCCCGCCTCATTAATAAAAACAAAATTTGTTCGTCAAAGTCTGAAATTGCTAATGCTTTTGCAAAAAACATAGCTTAAAACTCGTCCCCTTTAAACCAATCCCAAAAATTCCAGTCTTTAAAGGAAACGGCTACATTTCAAATTACCAAACAAAGAAAGTAACAATGATCCATTTACCCATCAAGAACTTGTTGATTCGCTCGGAAAATCACAGGACTCTGCTTCAGGTCCAGATGATATTCCATATCAATTTCTCAAACACCTACCGGATTCGTCACTAAGATGCCTTCTTTACATATTCAACCAAGTTTATGCTTCCAGAAAGATTCCAGATTCGTGGAAGAACTCCACAATTAAACCTATTCCAAAACCGGGAAAGGATGATACTGACCCAAACAACTATCGTCCTATTTCTCTGACTAGTTGTGTATGTAAAACTTTAGAACGAACGATAAACACAAGACTGGTTTGGTTTATTGGGGCCAACGATATAATATCCCCTTTTCAAAGTGGTTTTAGAAACAGAAGAGTGACAAATGACAATTTCATCAGATTAGAGACATTCATTCGAGAGGCTTTCGCCTTGATCTTGAGAAGGCCTATGCTACTACGTGTACTTGGCAGTATGGCATCAAGAAGGTTCTTCACGACCTTGGTGTACGTGGAAACCTCCCCAATTTTATATCTAATTACATATCAAAAAGACACTTCAAAGTCCGTGTTGGTTCGACTTTTTCTGGAACGTCTAAACAGGAAATGAGAGTCCCACAGGGTGGAATCCTATCAGTTACCCTGTTTGGTCATAAAATCAATGATATAGTCAAATGTCTTGGTCAGTCAACAGAAGGGTCGTTATTCGTGGAAAACTTCTTCATCTGTTACAGATCTAAGAACATGCACACGATAGAACGACAACTTCAAGAGAGTTTAAACAAATTACAAATTTGGGCAGACGAAAACGGATTCAAATTCTCTACATCCAAAACTGTTTGCATGCATTTCTGTCAGAAACGAAAAGCACACAATGACCCAAATCTTACACTTGATGGCATTATAATTCCTGTTGTTGAACAAACCAAATTCCTCGGCCTCATATGAAGTATCTGAAAGATAAGTGTTCCAAGGCGCTAAACATTATACGAGTCCTTTCTAATACTGTGTGTGAGCGGACCGTGAAATGCTTTTGCGCTCATATACAGATCACTTATTCGAACAAACTCGATTATGGTTCTAAGGTATGCGGTTCGGCGCGCAGTTATTACCTGCAGATGCTAGACCCAATCCATAATCAAGGGCTACGTCTAGCCCTTGGAGTTTTTCGAACAACACCTATAAAAAGTCTTTACGTGGAAGCGAATGAACCATCCCTTTATGACAGAAGGAATACACTGGCATTACAGTTTGCAGCTCAATTAAAATCAAACCCTAAAACTCCGGCTTTCGACCAAGTATTCAACCCAAAATACCGAAACATATTTATGCAAAACCCGAAACTTCTGCCAACATTTGGTATCCGAATTTCAAATTTCCTGCAAGAACTCATCATAAAGGTGACTGCCATAGCTGAATTTAATATATCTGATGTTCCTCCATGGACGATACAAACACCTGCTTTTAACTTTACATTACATGAGCGAGGGAAATCCATTGTAATGCGCGAAGAACACAAATCCTCCTTTCGGGAATGTATTTGGAAGTACCCCTCTCATACACAACTTTGCACTGATGGTTCCAAAGAAGGTGAGAAAGTGGCAGCAGCCTGCTGTTCTGCTAATTCTTGCACTTCAGTTCGACTACCAGACGTCGCCTCCATCTTTTCTGCCGAAGCATGCGCGTTTAGTTTGGCCCTCGAACATATCGATAAACACCGCATTAAAACGGCAATCATTTATTCAGACTCTCTATTTGCCCTACAAAGTTTACGAGATCCTAAAAACACACTCGTACAAAACCTTACTTTTCGCATATTTCGTATCTTAAAGAAATCTAAAATTACTTTACTATGGATTCCGAACCATGTCGGAATTTAAGGCAACGAACTTGTTGACAGAGAAGCCAAAAATGCGTTAACTACCATATACAGATTTTAAACCTATTATTCGTACAGTTATTCAAAATGAATGGCAGCAACGCTGGTCTCTCGAGACCAGCAACAAACTTTTTAAAGTACAACCGAAACTTAAAACATCTGTTCCCAGTCGGGAAAATCGTAGGGAGGGAGTTGTCCTTTCTCGGCTCCGTACTGGGCACACATATCCTACTCATTCGTACCTTTTAAAACGAGAAAATCCACCTTCATACCACGCATGTGACACTCCATTTACAGTGGAACATATTTTAATAGAATGTCCCGATTTTAAACACATTAGTGATAACTATTGTCGAGTCCCGGATATGAAAACTCTTTTCAGTTCTGTGGACTCGAAGGCACTATTTAAAGAGATACATGACGCCGGAAACGTTTTTTTGCATTTTTCACAGATTGACAGAGAAATTGATATACCTTTAAATCAATACATAATTAGAATATCCAACCAAAGTTGTCGATTCGTCTTGCCACCAAACACTAGAAATCTGTCCTCATAATAAATGTAAATTTGAATCGTCCCGCTGGTTCTACGCGCCATTGCTGATGAATATTCAACAGAAGTTTCCGAAAACGAGTCACGTGATAATTCGGAACACAACAAAAATGGATAGCGAGGTAAGAAACACGTTGTTTTGTTTACGATTTTAAAATCGGTATTTAAGCATGTTTATTATATTCTTGACGACCTGTTTAGAATGTTACAATGCATTTATATGTGGGTATGCGTTTTGAATGGAAAATGTGCCGGTTGCAAGCCTAGATTGTTAGTTGAGACACTTCAGTCGTAGTCGTTGAAAAATGGGTGGGCCCCCGAAAGGGGTTATTGAAGTCGGTGGATTTGATCAATTATGACGATATTTCCATTGGAAAAAAGGCATCAACAAAACAAGAAAAAATACTAAGGCCCCTATCTAGAAAATAATAAGGAAGCAAACAATATAAGAACTACGTAATAATGGAGGTACATGACTTATATGATCATAATTTTCCAATTTGGTCAAAACTGAGCTGATGATTAGGAAGTTTTCTTTTTGTAAACAACATGATCTTTATATAAGACAATTTAGAAATATGTATATGCTGCATATATGTTTTGCCAATTACCTGATTTTGAAGATGTTGTGGTAAATAAAAAAACAGAGTTTGCAAACCAAGACATGATGCACTGTCATTGCCGAAGACAATCATGCACATAAATATATATATATATATGTATTTTATTTGTTTATTTTTCACATTACAGTAACATATACATTTCATTATACATAATGAATTCCACTTTCACACATACTTTCATACTAATTAATATTGCTCTTTTTGTATGTGGTATTTTATATTATTGTAATGTTATATTAGAAAGGAAGGAAAATCAGAAAAGAGAAACAAGAAAACAAAGAAATAGAGGAAATAAAGATAGGTAAATGGACAGAAAGAAAGACAGACAGACAGACAGACAGACGGAAAGATAGACAGACAAGAGGATAAGTACCAGTATTAAATAAACCAATTTAAAGGATAGAAGTCTTGTAATATATAGGTGTCAGTAGCTAAGTAATTAAGATAATACATTGAATGTTTAAATTTGTCTCTTTTTTTTCAATTAATTAAAATTAGATCAAACATATAAACAATTGGCAAAAAAGTAGGTCTAGGAAATATCAATAAGCCTTTTCCATTTTTTCCACTCATTCTGGAAGTTAATGAGATATATTTCGTCTTTACTATTTGCAATATATTTTTGAATACTGTAATGTTCTTTAATTGAACTTTTAATTCCTTGTATAGATAAAGGCACTTTAAGACATCTTGTCTTGTATATATACTGTTTTATTATTAGAATAATACTATTGTCACTTTTATTAAGTCCATTATAGTTATAAAAACCAAAAAGAAATGTTTGTTTATTATAATCAAATGGAATAAATTTAAGCAGAAATATTTCTGATTTTAATATAAATTCAATGGCAATTGCATACAAATGAAAATAAAAACTTTCGGCAAAGTTGCTCCCTTCGGGGCCCAATTGTTTATTTACAAGCGGATTTTCTCGTTATGTGGGTATTGTAACACCACCACTGTGTTTAATTCTCAAGCAAAGCAAGTCTTTATGCTTAAAATATTACCTCCCATAATGTAGTATTCCAAATCAAAGTAATTTGGCCAAGTTGGGAACTTTCAGTCGCAAGTTTTACAGTTTAGCGACGAACAAAAATAGCTACCAGTCGAGAAGAAAAGAAGCAACATCCTGGTTCCACCACAACCCTAATTCAGCCTTCAGTCTGTTCCATCTGTTGATGTGTTCCCAATATTGACTCGACTATAATCTGTTGGTCTGGCAAGCTCCAGTTTCCGTCGTTTCCGAGCCGAAGTTGTTAAATATTCAGCTGGACGACCACGTTTCGGTGCGTGTGTCGCCATATTGTTTTGGTTTTCGGAGGTCAGGTCATGAGCTCGGGTCATGAAGGGTACGTCATGTCACGTAACTTGTAATTATGCATAATAGCCTTTTATGGGAATTTATGCCGAGCGGCATTTATACATTTTTTTATCTTTATATTTACAGCTCTATGTTTGTAGAAACTTTTCAAACTTGGTATTAGCGTAAAGTTTATAACTTTCTCTATCGAGTAAAAATAAGGATTTGTGTTGAGGTTTTTTTATAAGAGAGAAAGAGCTTTTCCGACGTCATGTATCTCTTTAACTATTTGAAAAACATCGGTCTATTCTAAAGACTCTGATGTCATTTAACCAACCTTACCTTCTTTGGCGTTATATATATCACATAGTCCATATCATCTATTCGTTATCTCTCTTTTTATTTTAAACCCCTTTTTATTCTAACTATCTACACATACGATGCGAATGCTTTTAGAAATGATTTTTTTATCTGATTTTATCTTCGCTAATGACATGTTTGTTTAAAAAGATGAAATGAATAAATAAATAATGGCCCTAAATGACCACAGCCACCGATGGGCCGTTGAACACAAACAAACAAACAAACTAAATCAATTGTAAACAAAAGCATGAAAAATCACCAGTAGTTTACACGAATTACAGTTTGTCAGGTCTTACCTGGATATATGGATCAGGATCTCCCCTTAAGCTACACCAGCCTGCTGCATTGGGGGCCTGACATCCGGTCGAACTCCTCTCAGGGTACATGTACAGGCGGCCACAGGCGGGGTTGTGATGCAACATATATAACGGATAGTAGGACGACGCTGAAATAGCAGCGTCAGGGACTCCCTGGGGTCCAGATACTAGGTAGTTCCAACAATCCATTTCTGCCCAGCACAAAGTGAGAACTACAACCGAATTGTGATACCAGTAACACAGAATAGCATTATATGACGTAAACTGATTGCAGTTGAAGCATTGGAAATCACGTCTATTTCGTATAATAGTTGCCACTTTATCTTGTTGGACTCTTGCCAGTTATGGTATATGACAAACTCTGAACGTGATAGGATAGACCTGGAAGCTGTAGTAGGGGAAATATGTGACAAAGGTTGCACGTCTTTGACAGTGCTACTGTAGGACATGATGACTTGACAACTGAGGAACGTGATAAACACAATGGGATAACTCTACACGGAAATATATAACCGTGACATGTGGTGGCTTGGAAACTTTACAAGGAAAAAATAATATCATTGTAGCACAGGATGACATAACATTTTTTTTTAATTTCAGCACGAGATACACACGACAAGTGATCAACGGTACATGTATGAACGTTAAAGTTTGAGGCAAGGAGGATATGCATGATAAAATTCAGCATGGCCATGAAATTATAGCACAGATTGACTCAGATGGAGTAACAAGGGCATAAATGGCAACTGTAGCAAGTGATTGACACACGGGAAAACGTATTGCTCGTAATAGACCTGCCGAATATAGCACAATGCATTAACATTACAACTTTAGCACGGGATATACGCTATATGGATGTGACAATTGTGGAACGCGTTTGGAACAAATGGACAACTATAAGACAGGATAGTTAAGGTAGAAGTACCACGTGGTAGGCTTGGTATCTGTAGTGATAAACGGTGATACTCTACATCAAGTGTTATATAATTATGGTAACCGTATCACGTAAACCATTTTCCAATTACATTGTGTATATCACATTATATAGGTAAGAAATGTTGCACGAACTAAAAGTGATATCTGCAGAACGAAATACACTTCGCAAATGTCAAAACTTTAAGCACAGTATTTGCCGTTTATACTATTATACACTTTACAGTATTATTATGATAAGGATTACTAGCGGACTGTTGGAAGCCTATGATACGAACTGTAACAACTGTATTGTGTATTACGTCACAGATTATGCGAACGCTATTTCTCTTATGCGTTGTATAACAAAAATATCAGTTTGATATATCCGACGGAAATACTTGACAATATAGTGTCAGGTAATTTTGGAAGACTATATTGACTATTTATATCAAGAAAATTTGTAATTAGTAATGCATCGGGTAAAACAATCAAGAATAGCATCCCTTGGATTGAAGATTTATCAGTCACATCCTCAAGATAGGGGAAGCTTCTATCACTACCTCACCATATCCAGTCATTGTATTTAACAACACCTAATATTTATACGTGAAGGTGTTATATACAAATCTCTACATCTCAGCAACAAAAGTTGGTATCTGTGTCTCCCCTTATTTCTTTTCTAGGCTCTCGAGGTTACTCACATCTTTGGCCACACATTTTCCGTAATTTGTTCGGATGTTCCTAAACATTTTCTCCAGGTGAGTATGTGTGATGTTTCAATGACTGGTTCGATATGTACTCTGTCACCTTCAGCAGACCGGTAAAGCGTGTGTACACAAAGGTGTCAAACGAGTACGAGTTGGAAACCACATGTTTAGGAAAACGTGATACTTTCAACATAAAGTAACAGATCTAAACAAAAAGAAGGGGCATGACCTTTCTTATTATCAAAGAGAGAAGTCTAGAGGGGAGAAACAGTACTAAGGTATATAATCCAGATTATAAATTGTGGTACACGTACACGAGATACACAACTGTTGAAGTACGAGGTAGAGATGACTAATATTATTTTTCACACTTTAGTCATTCAAACGATATTTAAGCGAACGAATGCATCGTCTTATGTCTCCTCCCAGTCTCACGTCCCTATCAATATTGGTCTTGTTATCTGGATATGTTTCTCGTCCCCTAACAGTCTCACGTCCCTAATAATATAGGTCTTGTTATCTGGATTAGTCTCGAGCTCGCGTCCCTTCCCAGTCTCACGTCCCTATCAATATAGGTCTTGTTATCTGGATTACTCTCGCGTCCCCTCCCAGTCGCGCTTCTCCTCCCAGTTTCGCGTCCCTCCCCAGTCTTGCGTCCTTATCAATATAGGTATTGTGATCTGGAGTAGTCTTGCGTCCCCTCACAGTCTCGCGTCCCCTCCCAGTCTCGCGTCCCTTCCCAGTCTCATGTCCCTTTCCTGTCTCGCTCCCTTTCCAGTCTCGCGTCCCCTCCCAGTCTCGCGTCCCTCCCCAGTCTTGCGTCCCTCCCCAGTCTTGCGTCCCTTCCCAGTCT